AAGGAGCAAAAACGAATTATTTATACTCTTTACAGCGCATAGGGCACGGAGACGAGCGTCACTCGGACGCGGACAGGTCCCCAGTGTTCGTGCAGTGGGTGGACTGTGTCTGGCAGCTCCAGCAACAGTTCCCAACCGCCTTCGAGTTCACTGAGAGACTCCTCATCACCATAGTGGACCATCTATACTCCTGCAGATTTGGCACCTTCCTGTTCAATACTGAGAGGGAACGGGTCAAGGAGGGTGAGTGGATATTTTTTATTTATTTATACTTGAAGCAACCTTTTCCGACTGCAACTATTGCCCATTTTCTCATGAAGGAAATCTGATCTTAGCGAAATACATCATGCAAATCTGAATAGAGCAATGTTTTTACATTACCTCAATACTTGCGTTTTATCCTGTGTCATTGCATTTATGAACATACAAATTCATATTTTACTTAAACCCAACAATTTGTGGAGTTTAACTGAATTGTTTTTTACTGAAATCAAACCTCCGATACGTTGCACAGCAGCAGATTGTCTAGAAATAGCGCATACCGTGCCGCTATCTTTGTAATCTATATAGTCTAGTTTAAATATTATTTTATTATTTAGATACGTGCTTAATTTATCTTTCTTCTTTACAGAAGTGAAAACAAAGACAGTATCCCTCTGGTCGTACATAAATAGTCGCCAGGATTTGTACCTGAACCCCCTCTACTGGGGTCCATCGTCATTCGGGGCCAGTTCTCCCCCCTCCCCCTATTCTCGACCACAAGTCGTGTTAGTACCGGTCGCCTCGCTTCGTGTTATCAAGCTGTGGAAGGCGTTGTACTGTCGATGGAATCCTACCATGAGGCAGCAGGTTTGTAGATCTTTTTTATGAATTTTAGACTCTTAAAGTAAAGGTAAAAGGTTCTAAGTTAGTTTGTTCGGTTGTTTTGTGTTACTGACATAAGTTGAGAGACCCTTGGTTTTGTCTATATCGGATCTAGTTCGTCTTAATATTTTGAAGCAAACAGCACTCATTTTTTAAAGAGCCGAACAAATGAATGTAGTTATAAAATCTCCTTAAGAAGTTTGATTTTTCTTCTTCTTTAATCTATATCTACCTACGGCTAAGTGAAGGTCTCCTTCTCAAGGTCCTCCAAGTTACTATTTTTGCGCATTTATTGCGCAATAATAAATCACTTTTACACACCTAAAATTATCTTTCATAAACGAGTAAACCTTTTACACCTAAAACTATGGTCAAATGATAATATAATCTATTGACATTATCAATTATCTTTCTCCCACAGGACCCTATCTACCAGCGAACAAGAGAGCTGGTCGCAATCCGGGCGCAATTGGAAGCGGCCGCGGCCGCCGCCGCGGGAGACCATGCGGCCAGGCAACATCGCCTCGGACTCACTCCGCCCCGGGTCGCCAGCCCACACCATGTATGAAACGAGGACCTCTACTTCTACGACAGCCATCTATCTGTCTGAGAAGTCATAATGGACCTTACGACCATTGCTGGTAACTTTCAAATCAGTTTATCAACGAACGTGCGCTTAAAGTCGTGTTTTTAATGACCTGTGTATGGTGTAACTATTTTCCCCGGGTCGTCAGTCCTTGCCATAGGACCTCTACTTCTACACCAGCCATCTATCTGTCTGAGAGGTCGAAATAGACCTTATGACCAGTGCTGGTAACTCTCAAAACTGTATCTGTACCTATAGAGTCGTCTTTTCAATGAACTGTGTATGGTGTATAAGCAACTATTTTTAAAATATCATGCACACGAAACAAGCACTTAACGACTAATGTTGGTAACATACAAAATCAGTTTATTGACGAACATGCAAATAGAGTCGTGTTTTCATTGGAGTATGATAGATCATATAATATGGTACATAATTAACAGCACACATATTATTGTTATGCACACAAAAATACACCTTATCAACCAGTGTGAATAACCTTTCAAATCGGTATAATAACAAGCATGCAATACGATTCATTGTTGTGTAAGTATTGGGTCATAATATACTGTTTTATAAATAACTGTTTCCTAAGATATTATGCATAAGTTGTCAATAATATTATCTCTCTTACGTTGACTGGGTTTCATCTTACTATAACCAGAAGCCCATCAACTAAAACTTGACTTCAAGGAAAAATATTAAAATATTGCCAAATATTTTTACTTTATAAATAGGTATGCTTATATAGAACATAAAAACGTATATAATTAGGTCTTTAAGTATTTATGTGAAAAGAAAATATGTGTCTTAGATATTGCATGATTCAAATTATAATAATGTGAGAAATTAAAAATAAAGCAAAGTCCATAATTATAGATACATGTTTAATGTTGTTATTATTGTAGTTTTAAACTGTCAAACACTTAGCGGTCACCGGTGACCGCAACCTATTGTTCTATAATTGTGTCTACAAAACCGGTACTCGACGAGTTAAACTTTAGCGATGAATAAAACTGTATAGATGTTTTATCTAACGAGCGCGGGTGCACCATACTTTATGTGGGTACACGCACATTGTCTTTCTTTGCGTGCGCTCGGGAACGCCCAGTTTCGCGCGGCGTGACAATGAATGAGTTTGCTGCATACAAGCGCGCGACTATACGAACTACAACTATGGCTCCACCGCTCGCGTGTGATCAAATAACTATAATTGTATATTAATAATCATACATTCGATGTTATGTATATGAAATATAGATTTAACAGTTTCAATCGTTTGTTTACGTTGTTATTCATGCAACATCAGCCTTGAGCGGTAGATTACAACGATTTTTTACATAAAACTTGAAAAAAGAAAACATTTTTAAACCTAAAACTTATGTTTGACCATCAGTCCATCTATCGTGCTGTCGGCGTAGGTACAGAGGTAAGACCTCTGAGGCCTTAGTACAAGTTTGTTTCACATTTATAGTAATCGAAACGAGTGCGCGTTCAGCGCTCAATGAAGCAACTAATCAGAGCTGAGTTTACACCCCGTATAAAGCTCAAGAGTTTGTATGAATGCGCTAATCTCAGGAACTACTGACCCGATTTGAAATATTGTTTTTGTGCTGGATAGTCCATTTATCGAGGAAGGCTATTATAGGCTAAAATATCACGCTACGATCAATAAGCGCCGAGCAGAATGAGTGAAGTAGCTAGTATATAATAAACCCAAAACCAACCACGCCTTTACCCAATTATTTATTTATTTAAGCTTCATGCACAAAACGTACATAAGGTGGACTTAATGCCGTAGGCAGTTTCTCCCAGTCTGACCTTTGGGTGATGCAGAGAAGAGTTAATGGTGTGAGCAAGAAGCAAGCAACTATTTAATAGAGCAAATAAAATAGATACACTTACATATTTCAGAAATAATTATCAATGTAGATAAATTAATAAAACTTCGTTAAGTGTTTTTTTTCTACTATCCATTTTGTGGTCACTTTATTTGTCGTCAATCATAACCTTTAATACTTACGAAATAAAGACTTGAATGTCAAAGTATTTATCAATGATGGGCGGTTTACACTATAATATAGTAAATATAACTTGTATTTTATCAGCTTTTTTCATTATTATTTATTTATTTATTTTCAGCCATGATCGTCCCACTGCAGGGCAAAGGCCTCCCTACCCTCCTTCCACTCCTCTCTATGTAAAGCTTTTTGCGGCCAATCCTTGTCATAGATATCTAGTTCGTCCCGCCATCTCCTTTTGGGCCTGCCGCGACGTCTACTGACGTTGAGTGGGCTCCACTCAGTAGTAAGTTTTGCCCACCGCTCATCTGACATGCGGCAGACATGACCAGCCCAGTTCCACTTCAAGCCTGCGGCTTTATGGCCAACGTCGACGATTTTAGTTGTGGAGCGCAGCGTGGTGTTCCTAATTCTGTCCGATAGTCGGACTCCTAAGATACTGCGCTCCATGGCCCGCTGACAAACCCTGAGTTTGGATTTCTGATGTTTTGTCAAAGACCAAGTTTGAGCGCCATAGGTGAGGATGGGCAGAATGCACACGTCCATGAGTTTCTTTTTGAGCGCTAATGGAAGATTACCTTTCATTAGGTCTTTCATGGACCAATAGCTCTTCCAGCTTTTTTCATTGCTTATCATAAATTGTAAACAAGGTTTGTCTGTTTTGCACACAAAGACTTGACTATGTATACGTTATTAGTTTACGTTATTAGCAACTCCCGCGCGATTTCACATGCTCTGCTCGGCTCCTATTGGTCGTAGCGTGATGTTTAATAGCCTATAGCCTTCCTCGATAAATGCACTATCCAACACAAAAATAATTATTCAAATCGGTCCAGTAGTTCTGGAGATTAGCGCGTTCAAACAAGCAAACAAACAAACAAACACTTCAGCTTTATGTAAGGTATTTAGCCGATATTTGTTATATAAATCATTACTTCAACCAATATTTAGTCTATAAATACTATTTATATAAACTTATTCTTGATTATACCTTCTTGGCCGAGTAGTCGCAAGTGCGACTGCCGGGTATGGGGTCTCGCGTTCGATTCCTGGGTCGGGCAAAGTATTAATGGGTTTTTATAAAAAAATGTTAGTAGTAACATGGAGTCATATATGGCAATAAGCTCACACCCTATTACATGGGCCTCAAAACATAAATAATGAAAAGTGGCTGTTACATTGTACAGTGGTATTAAGTGCCGTAATGTGCACCTCTGTGTGGGGATAAAAAGGCGTGATGTTATGTTATGTTATTCTTGATTATTTTTATTGTGTACGTAAACTCACGTCTTGATCCCATTAGAAAACACAATACAAAGGTTTTAATTTCCATGGTTTTATTTGTATAGGCAAATAGTGCATTGAGCCTAGTTATTTTATTTAGTATGCAGGTAAATAATAAATGTGTTAGTACGAAGACAGTCTCTATGTTCTGCTTAGGGCAGTATACAGTATGAAAATTATAAATAGTCCGTCAGTTAGATAATGATAAAATATTAGACGCATATTTTTTTTTATTGTGTCGTATAAGAAAACAATACATAGATAAAACGGAGTTCAGTTTCGAAGTGAGAGGTCGTTGCGTCACGCTACCCTATAAAATGTAGTAAATCGTGACGTCACACGATATTTCAAATCAATATATCGTCGAAAGTATTTTATTTTGTAAGAAATGAAAACATACGTGTCTAATGTTTTTGAATAATCTACCAGACCGACATTAAAATAAAATTTAGTCTAATACACTATTTTATGTTTTTTTTTACTGAGTACATTTTGGCCATAGGTCGGCTCAGTTCATTTTCATTTTGCTTACCTGTACACCAAATAATTTGACTATACATACATTAAAATGAGCAAATAACAATAACACATCCATTTTAATTTAAAAAAATGTTGTTTAACCCGTCGTGTCTCTAAACGTGGATCCACGCGAGACACAATTTATTTTCTATAACACAACATAACATCACGCCCTTTATCCCCGAAGGGGTAGGCAGAGGTGCACATTATGCCACTGTATAATGTAACACTCAATTTTCACTATTTATGTTATGAGTCCCATGTAATAGGGGGTGAGCCTATTGCCATATACCGGGCACAACTCCGGACTCCGTGCTACTTCAGACATTTTTTTAAAACCCAGTAATACTTTAAAAAAAAAAAAAAATAAATAAAATAAAATAAATTTATTTCAGACATACTGGGTCCATACATTTACAGTTTAATATTATGAAATATATATAATTCTTAATTAATTTAATTTAATTCATTTAATTTAATTTATTACATTATAACACCGCACTATCAATCATTGTTATTTTTTTTATATTGTCAATTTAATTAATGTCAATTTAGGTAAAGAAATATCATAACATTTTTTTTTTTTTTACAACAATAGAATTAACTTTGCCCGACCCGGGAATCGAACCCGAGACCCCTTGCCCGGCAGTCGCACTTGCGACCATTCGGCCAACGAGGCAGTCCTTTATATTGTGTCCATATTTTCTATTGTGTCTCATATCAGTGCATTCAAGCGGTTTATGTCGTTTAACAATTAAAATTGTGTATTATTATTGAATATTGTACCTACTAAGATATATAATATGCTTGACTGTTGAGTTATTCTATTTTTATACTGAATAAGTAATCGTGTATTCCATTTTATCGATAAATAAATAAATGTTTTATCTAAGACTTGCACACAGTACATAATATTATTATTATTATGATAAATAACACAAGCTATGTAAACTTTTATGTAAAGCATTTAAAAATACTTGTATTCAAAATTATATTATGTAAAGTGAATCTTGTGTAAGGAATATAAAGTCGTATTTTAATATTATAGAAATAAGGAATGAGATGGCATGCTACTCGATGTTTGAAAAGAGGCTGTGTTTATGGCTCGCTAAAGACCAAATTCATTTAACACACCAATCATGCTTTTAAACGGAGATTATTCAGAGAAATAAACAAGTATTTAATGTATTTAGGGTCGATTTTTCCAAAGTCATATAAATTTTAACTGAGGGATATCTTTGAATATTTGACAATAATTCCATACTAAAAATTGTCAAATGTCAGTTATATTCTACAGTTAAGAATTAACTGATGATTGAAAAATCACCCCTTAATGTTATATAGTTTAATAGACAACTACATTATAATTTAGACTCGTAATATATAAATAAATGTAAATAATAAAAATAAATGTTTACGAAGGATATTATTTTCTTTTTCTTCATTTCTTATTTAGCTTCTATTGTGGATGACTTTACCTGTAACCTCGATGCAGTAGGTTATATATTTGTTAATGTATTGCCGATACAAAAAAGAAAATGTTGAAAGATTGAATTTGCGTATTAGTCTGTTCTTTGTGCTTGCTTGCATATCATCGCAACTTATATAGCGTTTTAAATCTAGTTTCAAAACTTAATTCTAAAGAAAATCTGTTTAAAGATTAAGCTTATAGCCATCTTACTAATATTAGAAATGCGAAAATTTGTGAGCTTATAAGTGTATTTGTTACTCATTGACGGCTGAAGGGATCAGAATGAAATTTGAAACCTGGATATATTATGGCCTGAATTAACACGTAAGCTACTTTTTAACCCATGGAAACACGACGCAGCTGGCAGATACCATAGAATAATTATTATGTAAGCGACGACCAAATAATTTCACAATTAAATATTTTGCCAGTTGTGTTGTTTCACACACAATCGCCCATTAACGCGTCTGCCTGTTAAATAAGACATACGGGGTGAGTTCACTCTCATTTTAAAACAACAAAACAATCAAGATAACTCATCGGTATGGCAGAATAACATGAACTTTGATAACTTGAGAAGATAAATTCGTATCATAACGAGTCAACATTTAAACATTCGTCAATGTACACTGTAATCGCTCAGACATATTAGTATTTTATAGTAATAAGGGTAAAAATGTTTAAAGTAGTTCGAGATAGTGCAATTAGGAATAAAGTTACGAGTTATTTGAAAAATTTTCGACATGAAAAACGGTATTTGGCTAATCAACAAGAAGTTGTGTCGTCGGCTGATGTCGTGATTATCGGTAAGTTTAAATGTTAAAATCTACTAATTTTTGTGTCTATTAAGTGTTGTACAAGTTACTATAAATTCGTGTTTCATCTTACAAATCAAATATACTCTTTAATCCTCAATTCTGTACAAAAAATCATCGAAATCGGTCTAGCAATGTATGTGTTTATGGAGGAGTATAAATAAAACTGATTACAAAAGTCGAGTCAATTGTACTAAACTTATTCAAGTTTAGGTATTAACTTAAGTGTAACTGTAAATTAGCTTGAATTAATATTATACATCTATCTATACATATAATAAAATTGTAGAAAAGTGCTGTCTGTACATTGAAAATAAAAATAAAAAAAATAGCAGGGGCTATTGTTATGTCGATTTCGAACCCAAAAATGTAACTAACTTTTTTTTTTGTCTGTTTGTCTGTTCACGCTAATCTCAGAAATGGCTTATAAATATATATATATTTAACAGGGTGCGGAAAAGGTGATAGTGGTTTTATTCCTCAGATTCCTCTCATTCCAAAAAAATTATGCTTTAGTGTTTGTTTCA